TTAAATGAAAAAAATCAAGACATAGATTTTAAATTTTGATTAATTATTTTAATATGAGAAAATTATAAGTTAAAAGAATACAAAACACGTTTTATTTAAATAAAAAATGCATTATAAAATTTTTCACAAATTTGGCATGCATAAAATATATGCATGTTTAATTTTCACTTTCATATTCATGTCTATTTTGATCATTTTTAGCAGATTTTTTAAATTGCGCATGATTAATAATCTCAAATAAAGCAGTAAGCATGATTCCAATATATAGCATATTTATTTTATAAATAAAGTCTACTTTTTCATTAATTTATTTACATTTTTTAGTTTTAGATTGAAATTATTTTACCAATAAATTGACTGAAAAGTTAAATATTTTATCACAAATTTTATTATTGTCATACAATGATGATGAATCACACAATTCATATTAAATTTTTCTTAATTCTATCATTATAATTAAAAATATTAGTACATATCTTTAAAAAATCATATAGTAAGTCGTTAGAAGATTTTATTTTTTTTAAATTAACTAAAAATTGTACCTTTAAGAATAAATTTATGTTGTGAATTTAATGCTTTTAATTCATTTTATAGAATTACTTATAATTCAATATTTGTTATTATATCATGAAAAACTTTACATGTCATCTTGGATTTTTGCAATATGAAAGTGTAAATCTATTAATGCATTGTTGAGAAAATTTTATTTACACTTATAACTTAAAATCTCTAGTTGATTTGTATGTGAAAAATATATAATTGTGAGCCTAAACTCTCCACCTTTCAGCGTTTGTAGTCTAGGTGGGGGTTTGAGCTCCCATAATCTAACTTCTCTGATCTCAAACCATGTGGTCAAAGTGTATTCAAGACAATGAGATCATAAATACTCATTTTGCCACAGACAAATTGTCCAAAACGGACACTAACAACTTGATGTCTGCTATTTTCACAAGAACAGCAGACAAGCTCTTCGTCACATAAAGATCTAACCCAACTATGGGTGACTTTCTCAATACTACAACCGCTGTGGCTTATCCTAGAATGAGTGCCACAACTTAGACACACTGCCTCGGACACAATCAAGTGACACACCAGCAGCACAAGGTGACACCCTTCCTGACAGCAACCTTCACACCCAGGGAACACAATTCTACTCTCAACACTTGCTCGATTCTTCCTCTTAGTGATCAACTCAGTCTCAGCCCAGCGATCCTCTTGGCCGTCACACACACTCTTCCGCTCAGCCCTCCGGCTACACTCTCAGCGACTCCACGCTTTCAACACCCTCGCCCTCAGGGATCTCACCCTCCTATCAGATTCCACCCACAATTTTGAGTATCAGATTTCAGTCTCACACCCTCAGTTCCCACCTTCGATTTCAGTCCCACTCCCAATTCCTACTCAGATTTCGGTGTCAATTCCTCAGCTTTCACCTTCAGACCCCATCAAGTTTCTCTCTCAGGTTTACTCTCACTTTTCAGTTTCAAATTCAGATCCCGACTGTCACATTTTAGTCTCAGATTTCACTTCGATTTCGACTCCCACTCTCAAAAACTCCACTTTGATTTTAGCTCCCACTCGAAGAGTCGACTCTCCACCCTCCTTCGAATGCTCTACACTCCCCTCCTAATTCTCACCACTTCCCTGCGAAAATCACTCACATCCACACTCTACCCTTCTACCGATCCCACCAGCGTCTCCACACAATGGCACACCACACGATCCCAGCTCGCAGGCCGAATCATCCTCTCCAACGTCCAAGGGTCGAGTTGCCCACAGGCTGCATGAATGCCGTTCCCGCAATGATGGCAACGGCCTCCTTCCCATGTGCGACTTTATGCCCCGCCGTCCTATTTACCACGCTTGACTTCACGCCGCCGCCACTACCACACCTGTACAGTCTTCATTCATGACCACGCCAACATCCGCCGTACAAAATCTTCTTCCGCGCACCGCCGAAGGCATCTCCCTGCCAAAGACACTCCTCCGCACCTTTGCCTATCTATAACAGTCACCTCCGACACTCATAACTCACAGATCCCTGCTTCGTTTGAAACGTTCTTGGGCTCGTTGGAACGAGCATGTTGAGATCTTTCCAACGAGCCCCTAACTAAGTCAAACTGTTAAGAATTGAAAAAGTTATCACTGTTTTACTCTTCCGCCAAAGGCGTTTGCCTATGCGCAAGCTTCCTACTCGCAACTCCTTGGGCCAAAGAACCTTCTATCTGTTATCGCCGAAGGCCTCTCTATCTGTTATCGCCGAAGGACTTTCGCCTAACCATATCAGCCGCTTTCAACGCTCATAACTCAGTGATCTGTCATCCGTTTCAAGAGTTCTTGGTCTCGTTGGAACGAGCGGGTTGAGCTCTTTCCAACAAGACCCTAATTGAGTCAAGGCATTACGAATTGAGAAAGTTATAACGATTTTACTCCTCCAACGAAGGCATTGCCCCGAAGACCTGCTACCGCCGAAGGCCCTTGCCCCGAAGGCCCTTCTGCCGAAGGCGTCCGTTGCCGAAGACGTCCGTCGCCGAACTCGCCCAAACCCTTCCCATCAATAACCTCCGACACTCATAACTCAGTGATGCCTTATCCGTTTTAAGAGTTCTTGGTCTCGTTGGAACGACCGTCGCGCGCTCTTTCCAACAAGACACTAACTGAGTCAAGGCATCACACATTGAAAACGTTATGAGGGTTTTACTGTTTCGCTGAAGGCCTTTCCCCGAAGGGACTTCACCGAAGGCACTTCGCCGAAGACCTTGCCCCGAAGACCTTCTTCCGCACCTTTGCCTACTAGCCATTACATCAACTCCTAATCTTGCCAAAACTTGCAGAAAACCCCAAGCATAATTTTGCAAGAGCTTAAATCCAAAATTTTAACTCTCATAAGGTTACAAAGACATGGGAGCGCATTTTTGTGCTCACAATCATCACAACATATGTTATTAACGTTAATTTCATGGTTTTCAATCAATTGATTTGAAACCAAAAAAAATTCATAATGTTCAAGAGCATGGTGTTCAAAAGCAATTTCAACAATTTTTTCATCAACTTGCAAGATGATTAATATGATAAAACATGATAAAAAATTAAATATTTCAAATATAATTCAACATTAATGCGATTTTTTATAATTTATTGTCATAAAAGATTTGTTCAAAATTCAAGAAATATATGTTTCAAAGTTTTACAAAATATTTGAAGATGTGAGATAGATTTAAAATATTACGTTTTATAATTTTTTGCATAAATTTTCGAATTAATAATTTTGTACCTTTTATAACTATTCATCATTACTTTCAATAACTTTTTTAAAAAATTAGATATTTTGGTAAATAAAACTTTACACTTTCATTTATTTCAAATATGTTATATTGCAATAGAAGGAAAAATTTAAAAAATTTCAAAGTTTTAGCAATCTTTTTGAATGAAGTGAAAACAAATTTTCTGGAAAAATTTCAATATAATCTAAAAAAAATAATTTCAAAACTCTGCAAATCAAAATATAAATTCTACCATATTTAGAATTATTGCCGTTTTGAAACTCAAATTTTGATACCTTCTACAAATTACAAAGTGATTTGAATTTTTTTTTGTTTTTATTTTTTGAAATGATTAAGTCACAATAAGATTGCAATGGATTATATGTGAATAATCCAGATTAAGAAATCTAATTAATGCAAAAGTAGCTAAACAAAATATTTCACTAAGATTTTGTCTACTAATGAATTTTGCTAGAAAATTACTTGATGGTATTACTTGATGGTTACTGGGACACATCACGTATTGTTTTACCCATAGACCTCAACGACGGCACACGTCATCCAAATTATGGAAAAGTTGTAATACCGACCAACAGGGCAGGAGGAGTAACAAGCCAGAGGCAGGACCGCGGATCTGTGCAATATTCCATTTGCAGTGCAAAGAAATAAGTGTCGAGACAACTTTGAACTATATATTTTCAGTTTCGATGTCCTGCACGCCGAGCTGAGCTGTTTAGAAGTTCAGTCCATAGGAGATGTAAATAGGTTGATTGCGATACTTGTCTAACGTCCAAGAACAATTTTTCTGTTTTCATGACATGCGTTCTTAGAAGCTCAATGCAACTTTTGGAGACTTTGCATTCTCTTTGTTTAAAACTTTTTGATGCTAAAAGAAAAATTCTTGAATTTGATCAATCATATTCTTCCCATTCACATCCTATGCCTTTGGATCAAATCAAACTTTGATACCTAAACGTGACACTCTGTTCCTACATGCTTCATGTAAATACATCTTCGCTCAGTAGCCACATCGACCGGAGGGACTACTATATGTTCTTTATCTGATTGGTCGAACACCCTACAGTTGCTACTGTGTCCCTACTACCCTACATCGACCAATAAAAGAACTGCTAATTAGCCGCAAGTGAGTTATAACTAATCCCTCCCCACATGACGTATCACGTAATGCTTTGGCGTAAGTTACCATGTTCTCACTAGATGCTCTCTCAACTTCCAACCCTTCCCTCACTCCCACCGTAGACTGCAGAATATAGTTACAAGAATTTTGTGTAGAACTTGGTGATGGTGTGCAATCGATGGGATCCTAGACTATAAAACGATTCGAAATAATAAGTTGGTCCCATCAACTAATTTTCTCTGATTTTTACAGACTAAAGTATGTACAGAAAGTTAAATGGATTGCATGTCTCAATAATGGCGGGTGAGTGGAGTTCCAAAGTCAGAATAACTTAAAGACTAAAACCCTGCATAGCTATTAGGTGCCAATTGGACGAAGTACCAAGTGTAACCACAATATATTCAACAATACCAGGTTTATGACAAATGGAGTTGAGTGAGAGGCATGGCGAAGTCACTTTCGGGGAGATACTCACATTCATACCATGACGTTACATGCTTCTATAACAAAACAGGAATACGAAAAGTACCGAGGTGCTTGAATTGTGAGGTGCTGCCACATCAGCCAAGCCACCTCTAGGGTTTTGAGTTTGGCCACGCACTGATCCGCATCGAGATCCCAATTCCTTCATTCGGAAGGCGATCGGCTTGTGATTGCGCGACAGATTCGTGGGGTCGGTGATGGAAGCAGAATTCCGACACTGCTGGACTTGTGCATAAGGTCGATCAGTTGCAGACATTGAATCTGGTGTCCATCGTGGGAGGTATGGCTGTTTCCCGGGTCAGTGGATTGCTTTCTCTTTTGCGGATTTCTCCTGCAGCTTCGTCCGGAGTTCTTCAGTCGGGCCAGGTCCGAGCGCAGGTGGGAAATCAGTTTCGTACTGGGGAGCAGGGGTCATCGGATGGCGGAGAATGCGAGGTGCTTTCTTCTGCCAGGAGACATATGCCTACGTTTATGAGCACGTAAGTTTTCGAGGAATGCCGAGTTTTGCTGAATTGTAAGAGCGTTCGTCCGTGTCCAGTCGGATCGCTAAGATGTCAATGTGATGATGTCTGTAAGCTCCCAACATCGTACACAAAATTACAACCAAGTTATGGGATAAAATCCACGAGCTGGTAATGAGCTTCTTGGTCATTTGGAATCGGGGTCGAAGTAGACACGTTTTTGTGTTTGAAACCGACAAATCTGAACGGACGTGATATATCCGGTTGTTTCCAGCAAGACCCCATCTGCTGGAGAGAATCACATTCAATCATTGTTCAGAATTACGGGCACACTGGAACAGGAATCTCATGCGTAGGTTGTCTACTAGGACATCTGAAGGGTGATATAAATGAGGGAACTTAGTGCTTTATGACGGCTTTCAGCGAAGTTGTTACATGAGTTCCGAATCTTCACCGTCTCACGTGAATCGCTGAAGTAAGGGAGACCACCAGTATGATTGATTCCGCTCATGGGTTCCTCTGGTACGCCCACGAAAGACGTCACGTCCGGATCATTGAGAGGTTATGACTACGCAAACTAGAGGCCCGGGCCTATGAATTGTGAAGGAAGTATCGTTGACTGAATGGTCTTTATCAGGATTTTTTGTTGCTTCGAGACGCTCAATATCCATGGGAATCCAATTTTTATCTCACGTTTAGTTTCCCTCTCGGCAGCATTTCGCCGTCCAACGAACTGATAAATGGAGAAGTCGCTCACAGTAAAACAGGCCTCACATCGGCAGTTCCAAAGGTGGGTGGAAAAGAGATTCTGAATTCTTACATGAACAGGTTGTTACAGCTGAACTGGACTTGTACATGTGGCCAGTTGCTTTGAAGTGGCCTCTGGAGTATTGTCGCAGACGCTTTTGTAAGCGGGCCTCATACTTTTTTGACCTTGTGCAAGCAGGTGCACTCGAAGACAGTGTGTCCAAACGCAGTCGCAGTTGATAAGGCATTAGAGAACTTGCGTAGTATTGTTATTGGTGGTGATGGTGGACAATTTTTTCCCACATCAGGTTTGCGAGCTGCTTGTAGACAGACTCTGTATCCTTTTGCTGCTTCGGGAATTCGTAAGCTTGCAAAAAACGGATGCGGCCAGCAGGTTCGAAGTATAATGGTAGAGGTTAAAAATAACGATTTGGACAGGGCTATACGTCGGTGGAGGAGGAAATGTAAGGAGGAAAATTTGAAGGTACTGAAAGATAGGGAGTACTTTAGAAAGCCTTCGGAGTTGAAAGTGCTTGCTCGGAAAGAAAGGGATCACCGAATTATAAAGAGAGCTTTCAGGCAAAAGCTGAAGTGGATTATGAGCCGTCGACAGAGGTATGTACTCCTGCAAATATGGAAAGTGGAATGCTTAATATCTTCCGTTGGAACTCTCAATCTTCGAGGAGAATTAGAAAGTTTTTACGACTCCTTCTGCCCAGGGTCAAGGTTGCTTGTATGTTCGACTGAAGTGTGTGAAGCTCGGAGTGAATCCGGAAGTTTGATTACTAACTCTTAACCGGCTCTTTCTTGCTATGCAGAGGGTTCTAAGATATGAACTTCAACATCTTTGCCGAGAAGCTGCCTGTTAGCCGCATCCCAGCGATTCACATCGATTGAAGCGAAACTCGAAAAGCTTTTTGATTCTGAACTGCGCATAGAAAACATTTTAGTCAAACAAACCTATGTGGTTTTCTCATTTTTTACCGATCAAAAGTAGAGAACAAGGGCGAATGCATGAATTATCCCTTCTTTAAACGCATACAATGGTTCGATCCTGTTTTTGAAATAAAAGCAATTATTTTCTGGTCTGATCATTTAGAGCATATAGGATGAAGTGTGTGTAATGTGTATTGAGCAAGTGTTGTTAGGACCTATATCTTTCAAAATCGCCACTTCTTGTACTAAAAGATTGAAAGACCAAGAACTTCGTCTTTTACGGAGATCGAGAGACAGTTCAAACATCTTTGTCCAGTTGCAAGATTGCCTTTCGTAGATCTCCAGGCTGTTGCTACTTAACTCCTCTTAGATTCAGAGCATTTTTCCGATAAAGGCAAACGCCAGATTGTACACTCGAAATTATTTGATGATTGGACGTACGTTTTATTCTAATATCTTCGTGAATCTGTAATGTTGATGCCGAATTTCCGGCATTATTATGGCCGCTGCTCACGGGCAACGATGAGGTTTTGCAAAAAACACGGACGTCCTTAATCCTTCTTTTCGACTCCTTCGGTCTTTTATAGAAAGCCACTGCCTTATGTCAACTGTGATGGTAGCAACGTGAAGCGAGTTTGGTATGGCTATCCCGGGTATCTCCTTGATCATGACACCCACCTGTAGCTAACTTTCCTTGACGGATTTAGTAGAGCTGAAATTTGAATGCAACGTTAGAAGGACGGCTTTCTCCGCCCTGGTGAATTCGTAGTGGACGATCACATATAAGTCAAGGCTTTTACGCTTGCCTTACCGTCAGTTGAGAAATAGTTCCTCTACCCTGCCTGTTTCAGACTCGGTTTCCGGCTACTGGTCACGGTTTCGATCTGTCGACAATATTTGTGACTTGTCTTGAGGAAGTGGTGGCAGGCACGTTTCCTCGATTTTCTGATATGCTTTCGTGGATTAACCTTTTCATCTTTAGTATGATGGCTGATTTGCAGTGAACTAGATCGGGAGCTTCCATTCACGTGCTGCTGCTTTTGCAAATAATGTTAACTGTTGCTTTCAATAATCGATGCAAAGTCAATAACCGAACCTCAAATCGTATTTGTTGTATAGATATAGTCTGTGTCCTTTTTTCATTTCCATGCACGATTTCTTCTTGGCTGCACTTTCTCCACCCATCTGGCCAATTCTTTGTAGTCCGTTTATGTCCTACTATCAACACTCTTTTCTTCCAGCTCGCTTTTGTTTCTGGTCTCTTGGGTTTGATTCTAGCTGCACAGAGAGAATCATCTATCTCCTTAATTTCTTAATATCAGAGACTAACATAGTGATAGACTTCCATCTTTGTATAAGTGAACGCCGGCTGAGAATTTAGAAGTATACGATCATTTCGAATCAAGAATCTTCGCAATGTTTGAGTAGCAATCAGCGTTGAGCACCATGTCGTGTTTTACAGTTCCTCCACTAATAAACTACGCAAGGTTACATCAATATATAATCCTACCGACGGTTGTCGGTTTACTTTACACCTTACACTTTCACTTGAATTGCCTTTCACCTCCGCACTTTGAATAACAGGGACACAACGACCTTGTTTGGGGAGGTTTCGATTCATGTTGCTACTTTGGTTTAATCTACGAGTCTCACACGCAGATTCTCACTTGCTGAAAAGTTATTTGTGCTTTGCTTAATTTGATGTATACCGATATCTTGATTTTATTTTTTGTCCATAGATGATCAATTTTGTAGATTTGAACTGAAAAATCAAACTTTGGATTTGATATACCACTTCAAGTCAATATCATAACTTGAATAGTAATTCGATGGGAATCCTGGAAACATTGACAGTATAAACAGAATGTAAACTTTGAAGATCTGCATTTTTGTGAACTCTGTTTCAGGTTTCCTGGGTGTACCACGATATTTCATACTTTATTTAACAATAGGTCCGAGGACGATTCTCAGGAGAATCGTCTTCGGACCTTTTGTTCTTCGGAAACGTTAGACTAGTTATTAAAAGTAGTCTTAAGCTTAGTAAAAACAACCAACTTGAGCTTTACACTTTCAGAGTTGTTTTGCATGGTAATTTCGTTGAACTGATCCTATCGTCAGCTAGTTTTCGATATTTAGACCACGAAATGTACACAAAAATCTTTTTGACTGTACATAGATAATTCCGTCTTATCACACGTAAATCCCTCTGCCTATGTACGACCCCGTTTGAGGTCTCAAGCAAATTAAATTAACGGAATTGTTCATATGCATTAACCAGCACAACAAGAATCCTTTCTTGTCTCGACTACGATTACCGACACAGGCGTGACATGTACAAATTAGCGGCACACTCACTTTACGGAAGACTTAATGACGTTTTTACCGGGCCAAGCTTACAGCATTAAATTGTGTAAACAGGATTCTAGCTTTATTCGTTTAAGTTGTAAATATAAGGTTCACGCAGGTTCACGCCAGTTGCTATAGTAGTGGACGTCTTCAAATTTAAGTGTTTTCCGCTACAAATTTTTCACCTGCCTCAGCTGCCAAGAATGTACGATGAAGCAAAAAAAGTATATTCAACGACTCGGAAGCATGACAATCTTGCTGATTCAGAGAAACATTTTTATTAAAATGTGGGACACAACTTAGAACGTAACCAATTATTGTATGAATTTATTTGACCCGATTACTATTCCTAAATAGAAGTCTCTCGACATTTTCTCCTTGAGTCGTTGTCTCGTTGTTTGGTACGAATTTCGCCCCAGTTTCGGCTTTACTCTGCCCTTTGGCAGAGCCACGTACTCCTCACAATTGCTCCATATTTGGCCTATCTAGAATTTGGTGAACACATGAAATCGAGCCAGAGCCCTAATACTCCAAAAAGGGTTGGCTTCAATCGAAGCTTTCGCTTGAAGGACTTCCGCATTCACTCTCAACCTTCGTGGGCGAACTAGAAATCTACATAACATAAACTCGATATCAATGCACCACTCCTATGTGTTTAACATGTTATAACGAACCTACATTACTAGTTACATAACCGTCCTGGCTGCTAAAAACTCCTGATTTACATAACATTCAAAAAAATCTTCGAAACATACACGTTTTTCACCACGTTTAGTATCTACTTCCAAGAACTGAGTCTGCGAACTAGTCTCTCGGTACGTCCAATCCTGACAGCAGTCGCAAATTGACTATGGCAGCTCACAACTTTTACAACCCGCACAACCACATGTTTCTTCATTCGTAGGAAGGGAGCACAAACCTCTTCTGGCGCCGTTACCGCATCACGCTTGCTTGTTCCACATAGGTTCTTTGCAAGAACCAGCTTCAGCTCTTATCCCAGAAACAAACACCTTCTGCACCAGCTCTACTATGACGAAGCTCTCCAGTAGCAATCTATATTGTCTTTTGTCCGGCAAAGCCGCTCCACTTCTACTTCTAATACAGCTCCTTCCACAGAAAACGAGCTCAGGTTCACAATTGAATCGAGCATCACCACAAAAATGAACGTTTGGATCTAGCTGTATTAAACTTCGACCTTCGACAGGATGCAGCAGACAAGCAGACAATTCCGGCAGATCCAACTCAACTGAATCGTTCCCAGGCGGCAAAGCACTTCGGCATTCACTGTTATCTATTTGCCAAACTGCCATTTTGCTGAGGTCTTAACTTCTCTATGAAAGGTTTGTAAAAAGCCTTGAGATCCTTCGGACCCGATGTCTGCAAGAAACATAACAAAACTTCAACCTCCTACAGCTTGATACGAGACCTAAACCTTCAGATTTACATCGTCCTACCATGCCTCAACGACGTCCAGCACAATTATATTATCAGTTCGACAAGGCGATAGCTATTGTAAGTCCGTCTATTACATGAATGAGAAGTGGACGAATAAATTATGTAATTCGTCCTTACCTGTATATGAAGACAATATTGCTCGGCCAAATTGGGGGGACAATGTACTGCTGGCAGTAACTTTGTAGCCAGATGCATCCAAAACTCCTCCCCACATTTCTCGTACAGTGTCTTTTGGGCGGTCACAATCTCTCCAAATAGTGAAAACTGCAACAAACCCACAATATTCGCATCTTTAACGTTCGGCCAAACACTTTTCACCTCATCGGTCATCTCTACAGGTAAAGGACTGTAGAGAATTTCGTCTGCACATATTCACCTTGCGTTTGTGAGATCTCAAATCGTAATATACGTATCCCCACAATGCATTAACGCATGATAAAGCGTTTGACTACGCGTGATTGGAACGATAAATGAGAAGTAGTGAAACACGGAGCACGCAGAGCTTTTATCAAATAAAAGATTACCAATACTTCAGATAACTCGTTGGTTAAATGAAAGAACAACACATATCTGAAAGACTTACGTGATAGGTATTTAGTAGTAAACTAGAAAACAGTCAGTGACAGAAACAATGTGCTCGACTGACTCGACACCATCGTGGCAAGTTAAGAAGACCGGCGTGAGCTCACTAAAAGACACGATAAAAACTCTTTAGCTTTTCATAATAGATCTGTGCCAAGGAACAGGCCTGTAGAAATGTACGAAGAATAGCTAACGCAACAACTTATTTTTTAAGATAATAGCACGCATGAGTACGTGCCACAATCTATCCTGCGACGCTGTACAAACGACATATGAAGGCAATAACTCGAACTTACTGTGTTAGCATCACGAAGGTCAAAAGAAGTTTGAAGCACGCTGTAGACGCAACATTCTGAGGCGAATCTTTCTATGACGAACCGTCGAAATCCAGGAACCTGAAATTCCAAGAAATGATAATAAGGTGAAAGTACACAGCGTAATGGAATGACGACACGAGCAACAATAACTCGATTCTTTTCGAAATTTTACACTCAACCTTAAAACAAGGACAAATACAACAAAGATAGTACAGAAAGCAAGGAAATGACTGACCTTCTCTTCTACCGTACTGCCGGCGCACCAGTCAGAAATCAGTTTTGTGAAAATCTGGACACAAATCTGGAAACCAAAGCGCCATGTCAACAAGATGCCAATATGATCGTCCAGAAGCTTGTGAGTCAACAACTTGGATATGCAACAAATGATCTGGATGAGAGAGAAAAGAAGAGAGACCTACTCCACAGCATAAAACCTGTGTATTGGGAAATAGGTGTAAAGACACAAGCTAACCTTTCTAACAAGCACATCCTTGTGGTGACATGCAGCCTCTAAAATGAGTTGGCTGATGTCTTGGAGCCAGTGCCTGCTTTGAGGCGTAATGAGAACCAAAGACAAATCATTCGAAGTCACAACATGCAAAAATGTGAAGAAACATCGATGAAGCTCCTGTAGCTCTCGAACTTCCTGACAAACACAACAAAGATAATCTTAAAGCCGGTCTACCGACACTTCGAAAGAGTTTTTGGATTCCTGCTTATTGCCTTCAGAGAAATCACAGTATATCGCACATCTATATCTTGTTTACATCAAAGCGTTGATTCCCCCAGCAGGTTTCGTTGTAGCAGATCCAATAAGAGAAGAACACTCAACGATGAGCGAATAGTGTCTACTGGTAACAAAGACGTAGAGAGCAAAGTGAATTATGTCTACTAAACAATGCAATACATGAACACCTGCATAGAACCACAAAGCTGGTGCATATAGGCTAGAGAGTAAACCCTCCTTGAATATGCGCCAGGCGCAGAGCAAAGAGTAGAAGTATCACAGGCAATGCACCGACCATAACACAAGATTTAACAACTACATTAAATTCTTAATAGTTGAGCAGACAAACTAGATCAGTAACATCGAGAGGCATGTGGGGGAATATCACTCATAATCCAGCTAAAACAACAGAGGGTAACAACGACCATAAGGCAAAATTTAACAACTACATTAAATTCTTATAAGTTGCGCAGACAAACTAGATCAGTAACATCGACAGGCATGTGGGGCAATATCACTCATATTCCAGCTAAAACAACAGAGCGTAACAACGGAAGGCGAAGGCTAGATTAGCGTTGCGCAGCACTCTGCGATTTAACTTTACGTACCAATTTACTACTGACGTACGATCAGCGCTATAGCATCTCATGTCGTGTTAATCATATCACCGACAACGGGCCCACTTCGGCCACTACAGGAAGTACATTCAAAGATATCGTCATATGTGAAGAATACCGTGTACTATATTCATCTCCGATTTGTTTCGTGATGATTGAATCATCATTCCATCTTCAGTGACTGTTTTTTAACGTAAAGCCCGTGAGTTACTCAAATATTTCTGTTTTAAAAATTTCTGGGATCCCTCTCGTCATCCTTAAATTGAATGACGAGAGGGATCGTCCCTCCGAAATGTCGAGGATAGCGTTACAGAGAATTCCTGAGTCAACTAAAGTCACCGCTTTACCCAAAAAGTAACGTCCACACTCCAGACAGAGCTCCCTAAGGTACTGCCAATAAAAAGGCAAGAGAAGGTATTCACTTAAAAGGTTTTCTGTGGATTCAGGTCCTCAATAAGTACTCAATGCCAGTTTTTAGTATTGGAATCCCATTTACTGCCAAGCGGCAGTCGAAAGAAATTGTCATTGATCACAGGGCATCCATCCTAGGGGATCTCTCAGGAAAGTACCTCTAAATCTTGTGACGCAAAACTACAAATTAAAGTAAACCATATCTGCCCTTTTCTTCGATCTTGCAGGATCATGTAGTTCGTACTGGGAAGGGCGTGTTTAGCATAGGCAAGATAAAGATGTGATGGCAGATAGAAGCAGGGAAGACAATATTTCGGCGATTCTAATGCTGACCGTGAAAGACAAAAAGGGGTGTGTTAAGGCGCTTGGAAAAAGACATCAAGATTAATGAAAACAGGAGTTGCAAAAAGCATATTACATGAAGGTAAGGGGGAGCTGAGAAGGATACAATTTTTTGCCCTTGCTATGTCCTGCACTTAACTTGACCACGGTTGACCGGTCTTCCTTGCCTTTTCAAAGTACATACAGCATCCAAGAGAGTTCGAGTATACCGGTGACGTGGCAAATGGAGTAGCTGTCTTATCCACCTAAGATAGACAAAATCCCCATGGACTTCAAGAGATATCACTCCGAGTGTTGATCTACTCCCAATCGACCTCAATATACGAAAGGCTGTCGACTGAACCACTAGCCTGAGGCGTTGGATGGTATCGGTATTCAGAACTGCTAATATTATGTGAGTTAACATATGATACATGTGATCTCCCGTGAGCACTTAAGAACCTGTTGACCTGTTTGTACTCTTTCTGAGTGACTGTCTGTGGGAGTTCCCGCCGCCAATCGTCCCAAGAAGTATAGGACTACGATGATGAAAATTCCTTGTCGCTTCAATACCCATCTTTGATGTATGCCTCGGTTGGTCTGACGACCATTGTGCACAAATGACATTGAGGAATTTCCACTAGTCTCGGATTCTCCTAAGCAGAATATAAATAACACGAAAGGGCCACAAGCTCTCACCTCTGTATTTGTGCCAGAACCTTCCGGAAACCCATCCTTCGGGAGCAGGGTAAGTACACGGCCCACAACGGCAGGAAATACTTCCTGAAGAATATTACTCATCCCCAACTTGAACTTATTGACAAGCTGGTTAATTAACAGAATAAAGTCCGCCAGATCTTTAGGCTGCGCACAGTGACGGTAAATAAAAAATTATAATTCGTTCTTCTCCACAATGTACCAAGAGTTAGAAACACTGTCAGTCAGTCAGGTAAGCAAATCACGAGTCTGTTATCCAAACATTCAATAGCATCCAACCCAATATCCTGCGTTCAATCTCCATATGGCCTATTATTATTCTTCGAAAACTAATCCTTGCGTAAATCCTCGCAACAGGAGGTAAGAAAGAAGGTAATACTCAACGAGCGACATTTCTAAGATTTATACGTAAATATTACTCAAGACTAGATTGCTCCAATCGTCTACTCAACCGAGCAAAGACATATGTGAACCAATATGTACATACCTCACAGTCGTTTAAAAGCTGCTGAATAGCCACTGGAAGAACTGGAAATACAGCACTACCAAGTACATCCACCATTCGGTGCAGGAAAGATATTACCTAAAATGATAAACCTGACGAGGCGTTAGTAAAATGTAAATTGACACAATCCGGTGGTGTGATGCTTCGTGTTCTACATATTAACCCTTTTCCCTGGTCAGTGAATGTATGACTTGTAATGTGTTTTTCAGCCCTTTGACCCTTCGGGTCCCACGGGCTTGATCTATGTACCATTACCATATAATTACACCTGTCTCCGGCATTAACTAGTTCCTTAAGTGGCGCCCATTAGAAATCCAAGTTGTTCACGAAAAACTACTCAAAACTACATCGAAGGCAACTCAAAAAGCAAAGTTTCCAGGCAGTTTTTTTCTTTGCTTTTCACAAAACTTTGCACGTTCTTGTTTGCGACAACTACTCACCCTACTGCGGAGAACTTTGTTCTTTGGAAAAATCACAAGAATACGTAGAATCACGTCTAGAGTCTGCAAAAGACGAACACAGCTCTCTGCTTAGTAACTGATAGGTTGCCCACATACCATGGACGGAAAAAAAACTGTGAAGGTGATACGCAGGTTCCACCCGGCACCACAGAAGCTAGAACTGAGTATTTGGGGATTACCTGCTTGAACAAGTTACCGATAGACGGACGACTATTGGTGATAAGCTGCTCGCCAAAGCCCTGGCAGCAAAAAAAACTTTGCTTAAGTTAAATTATTGCAATTTCTGTATTTTTTATCAACACTGCATCAGGCGAATCGAATCTCAACGATTTCCGTATACTCACTTTACTCATATGACTAATTGCCAAGATAACTTGCTGCAGATTTATCACAACACCAGGTGGCCCTACTAGGTCTCCTCTGTAGGCTTCGCAAGATAAAATTGCATCAACCTGTGGTTCAAGAGCAGTCTCAGTAGTGCAAAATCAAGAGCGAGCACCAAAAAATGTTAAATTCAGGATTCCTGCGAGAGAAAGTCACTCAGACATGAGACGAAATCATAACCCACCAACCTACACATCACCGCTTGCATTTCAAGGCCTAGTGCATAGAACCCACGCCTTCTCCCGGGTTGAAAGCGGGATGGGAGGTAGGGCTTGTGGTGATGAGGAGTCGGGGGTTAACATAAGTTACAAAATATGAGAAAGATGAACAAGAAAAATACAGCATAACAAACAAGAAAGAAATACACACAATGCTCTCATTGTACCTAAATCGCCATTCAAACATGGCTCCCGATCAACGACACACGAAAGACAGCGAAGCAGTTGTAGGTTCGATCAGCTGACTGTACCAGGTTGGATGCTTCATGTCATGAGAAATAGTAGACTCATAAAGAGCAGCTAATCCACTCCTTACTGTTCTCGAAGTATACCTTAAGAATAAACTGTGTGAAACCAAAAGGGTGAAGCTTAAAGGTCAAAGTCTAAAGGGCAAAAACTAGCTCGAAGTCACCTAAGTCGATTGAGTGCGCCAGAATACTTCGTGCCCACTAGATCTTGACAATTTGCTCAGAAGTCCACAAATTAGAGGCAAGAAAATGCACATGCAGCCTGGAAGGAAAAAGGACTCAACAGTCAAGTCTTCACGGACGCCCAGAGCGCTAACAAATATATAGGAGTGCGTCACAACACAATTCTACACAGCCATCACCACCAAAAGCATCATCAAAGTCATAAGGAGCCCGCGCACATCGCGGAGGAGCTCGAGTTTATCACATTCGACGCAGTTTGACGGAGGAAGACCTGTTAGTCTCAAACGATCTACAAACAGCATAACTTAAGGCCAGCCACTTACATCAATACTTGACCTTCTAAGCACCCAAGCACCTAAACCTTTCAATCTCAGATGTGAAGCTGTGGTTCAGAAATATGGTGGCTCTTACGAAGAAGATTATACCCTTGAAACACAGAACTGCAGAAAGGCGACATCTCAGTCACTTCAACGAACTTTGTCTTAACAAGGTAAGCATGAAGATGGTCTTTCTATCTAAGATTCTTTAGGGCCGTGTCTCTCTATCGAAAGGTAACAGATGCTCGCTTTTCAATCAAAATATCCCCATAAAGGAAGGAGAAGGCGAGGGTGCCTACATTTCGTCCCAGGCAGATGGAGAATTGCAACAATACACTAGGCGGCCAGGTAGTGTTCACCCGCAGGGACAAAAGTAGTAGGACAAAAGCTTCTCCTACGTTGTAAAATGGCTCGAGGGACGACAAAAAAGGGTCTATGAACTCCAGATAATGAAATCCGAATGATGAAACATAGAAAAATCAAAATTTAATTCATGTTTTCGATCGTCGGTAAAAATCTACAATCAATCTTTTGACGTGTGTTCGACAGCGCAGAATGAGAGAACGTTAGAATAGAAAGATATAAATACCTGCGCGCATAGAGGCACCAGGAGTGCTGTAACATACTTTAACTGCTGCTCCTCTACTATGTCCTCCATCCCAATCAGCAATCCAGCGGCCTGCAAAGCTTAAATTGAGATACCACTGAATGTGGAATGAACGGTATGCAGGTAATTTGAAAGACTAACCTCTAACAGTGGGGCGAGATTACTCGATCAAAACAAGGCAAGCCACGGCTAAATGTAACACTACTGAAACTATAAATGGTAAATGGTAAAATGGTAAATGGTGATAGATCGAGCCCGGAGGATCCAAAGGGTCAAAAGGCTGAAAAACACAATACAAGCGAAAAACCACAAACAAGGGAAAAGACCCCAAAGATCAATCCCTAGCTAGTTCCAAGAGCGCTAGAATGGTAACTAATAGTGTCCCTAGTATAATAACCCTATCAAGTAAGACCGGACAACCCGGAACAGATCTACTCAAGACTTTAGCCTCCTGGGTTAGAACGGCCAAGTGGTCTACTGCAGCCAACGAAGAACACCTATCTCACCTCATAAGCATAGCAACGATCATCTGCATCTCCTTTCCCGTCGCTACCCTTGGAGGTTATAGCAGATAATGTGCTTTCAAGGCCCTGCAACAGAAAAGAACCCCATTAAGTTTTGTTCACAAAGATTCAGTTACAACAATATAGACCAGATGGAGCATCCGATCCCAAAGGTTATCATACTATTGTCATGAGTATAATCAGCACTTCGTTGAGCACTTCAAAATGAAGTCGTAATAACACGTAAATTGCTAAGGCAGCACAACCAAGAAAAAGCCAGTACCACACCTGAAGAATATCCTCGACGTACGGTACAAGCTGGGCACGCAGCACCTTCACGAGTCGCATGAAAAGATAACTTGCTCTGGAACTGACAGAAGGATTCGGATGACGAAGACCTCTACAATCTAGAAATGCGGCCAAAACTGAAGGAATGTATTCTGGGTGCAATTGTACATAGCGTACAAATCTAGTGATTGTTTCAAGATAAGAAAGTGAGACCACCCGATGGGAATGGCACGGTACAGTATTTGACAATAGAGTTCGGACCATTTCTACAAGAAGTCCCTTTTCATCTAACATGTCATATTCCAATACTCTCTCCCCTAACAAGTGCAGAAGAGCAATGGCTGCTTCTACGTTTTCAAATGATGTCTCGGAGTTCCCCAAGGCTGTGAGAAGAGTTGATCGAACGAAGGATCGGGTAATATCTGGAGCGACTCGGTGAATGCTTCTAAAGAGTCCGAACAAATCCTTCCGGAATTCCAGCAACTTTTCCTCCTCTTCCTGTCCCTCCTTGTCTGGCCCATCCAAAGAATCCTTACTCGATGGATCGTAGAGCATTCTATTTCTGATGACCTCCAGGATTTGTGCAACATGTGCGGCTTGCTTCCCGTTGCATTCTAATCCGCTCTTCATTCTAGCGACGTAGTTAGACAAGAACTGAAACGTTGTTGATGACATATCTTCGTCACCATGTTGCATGAAGTAAAATACAGACGGGAGTACCTCATCTAACATTAAGGTCACAGCATTCGTAGCTGCTGTTGTTTGACTAGAATTAGGGTGAAAGTCCATCTTTTTACTACACTCCAAGATTTCGGTGGCTAATCCAGTCAGCAGTGCAGTCAGCTTCAGAGCGAATTCCGGTTCCTGAGTCTCAGTTATACGGCTGCATGCTTGACCAATGTGCAATTTCTGGAGGAGAGCAAGTTTCGAAGTAGTCTCCATTCTCTTCGATACTATAGCCAAGAGGCAGTCAGCTGCCGCTCCTCGAAGAACGGATAGTTCAGTTTGGGAAACCAGGAGTTCAAAGAGCAGAGGAACAATACTGTCGTTGGCTACAAGACCAATATCGATCCAGGCGACATACCTATGCATAGTCTCTAAAATCGAGCACGTTAAATAAGGCATTTGGACTCTGTACATAACAGCCAAGTTGTACCATGCTCCCACAATTTGAGTGATGCATTGCTGCCTCATTGCATCCTTGATACGCGTAGCAGCAGCGATTTCCTCGGATGTTCTGAGAAAGTCCAGACTAATTACTTCTTCATCCAGGGTATTCAGAACTCTGCAGAACATGTCCACAACGACTGCACCCTTGCTCAGATGATTGAGCATCTCCAAGAACACGGACGGCCATTCAGAGGGATAATCGATAGATATGAGAATGACGATAATCTGAGCGAGTTTATTCTTCACAAACGTGGTCCTTGATCCGAGGGAACCGGGTTTTTGCTCGTCGACATCGTAGTTGCACATTGCTGCCAGCAGAGAGGACCTGATAAACTGACGTTCTTGAGGATCCAGACTCCTGTACCGCTGCCTTGTTATCTCCTCAAGAGCCTGGAGACACCAAAACTGGACTTCGGCATACTGAGAAACTCGAAATTTCTCCAGGCAAGCTTGCCATATTGTGGGAGATTGCTTCGCTTGCTCGCAGTAAGCTCTGGCCTGAGCTTTCAATTGTGCGTCTACTGCCCCAGTTTGATCGAAACTAAAAAAAATTGCCTTTTCAAAATCATCCATCCCTCCTGAGGAGCTAGAACAGTAAGATTCAGCTACGGCGGCCTACAGACACCCGATCAAACCACATAGAAGGTTATCCGAAACTTGAAGTGTACCACTCCAGTATCTGAAACCTGTGATCTTCAGCTTAAGTAAGATACACACGAGGGTTCTCCGACATCAGACTTCTCCCAATAAACTATCGGATCGGGTTGCGAAGTCAAACATTCATCAGCGGCTCTGGAGCCAAGATGATCCTTTAAGTATACCCAACGTATACAAAGCACTGTTACTCTTGAAGTGTCTCCCAGTCGAATTGCTCTGAGGGTCTTGTAAGCCCTAAGGTTAATGTGCAAGCCGCAAACGCGTTCGCAGTACTGCCTACAAGTCTGAGCAGGAAATACCCTCCAATCACCAAACACACAAATCAGAAGCGAGACCAGAGTGAAAGATCTGAAAAAGATCAGAAACTTGATCACAGCTTGCAGCTTGAGAGATCTTTCGAAGGCTGATGTCGAATATGAAAATCGGGGATGCTGGCAGGATAACGTCAACCTCTGTACTCCACAGAGAGGAGCTCAATTCAAGGGGGTTTCAGAACAATGGAGACTGACATAATCTGAGAGCGGATGCAAGGTGATCCGCCTTGCCCAATTTCTTCGCATAAACCTCAGCAAGAATTGGATTCAAATGAGACCTCGACATTGCAAAATGACGTAATCGGAGAGCCCGAATCCACCAACTCTACTGCGATACGCCTCCATGTTCTCAATGTGATCCAAATTCCAATTCCATCATCTCCGCAGTTATCCACTGCGACGAGATGCAACCGATTCGAAAGGAACGAGGAGAATCTCACTCAACCACATGGATCCCAGTGTCGCCTCCCAGGTCCACCCCGAGGCTCAAGTCAGCTCTCTGGAGACAAAGGCTCCCATCGGCGCAACGCCTCAGGACGGAATTCTTGAAGAGGGTGGCGCATCGACCCACAAGAGAGGAGCGAGGAGAATCTCGGAGCGCCGCGTGCTCGTGTGCAGCACAGAGCGAAACAAGGCTGGGGGGTTGGGTTCCTCGCTTCGAAAAAGAGAGAGCAGGAGAGAAACAAGAGGCAAAAAGCGGTCTGTTCGTTCGACAGAGTAATGACACCAGCAACGGGCCTGGCCAATGGACAACCCACCACGAGCAGGGCCGGAGAGCACTAACGTCAGGCCAATGGAGCGAGAGACGACAATAAACACCGCTACATATCTATCTATCTAGCAGGGCCGCGAAGGCTAGGGTTTATCGCCGAAAGGCCAGCTCAATCGCCAGCATGCACGCTCGAAATGCGCTCGAGGCCGCAGAGCAGCGAGCTTCGCATTACTCGCGCGCGGTCGTCACCGAGGCACTCACAAAATGTCCTCTTCGTAGCAGCACCAGCCAGCCAGCCAGCCAGCCAGCCAAGCTCATTTCTAAAAGACGAAAAGGCCCGAATTTCTGAAGGCCAAAGCCTCGCGTAGGCCTGGCCACGCCACCTCGCACAACAGCCCGCAAGAGATAGCGATAGCGCTGGGGCGCGCGAGAGTAGAGGGCGAGGGAATGATTGAAGACGCAAGCAAGGAAGCAAGCAAGCAAGCAAGCGCCTCGGACTCCTGCTCATAGCACCACAAATCCACCACCCCACCCAAAAGTGTGTCCCGTGTCTCCCGTCGCGTCATCCTCCTCTCTCGGCCCGTCCGGCTCGCCGGCCACCCTTTCCCGGCGGCCCCGTCGACCAGGGAGCGAGGGAGTCAGAGCAGTCAGGATCAGAATCTTGCTCTGTTCGCGAGTGACATGTCGGATCCATCATCTCATCTCCGAACATCCTGTCCTCTTCTGCAAGCCCTAATTGACTGCCCCGCCGCTAAAACAAGCAGCAGAACAGCCGTTTCTCAACAGCCACAGAGGCGGTCTATAACCGGTTGGCCCCGCTGCTTTGGCCCCTACCGAGATGGCGCTCTAGGATGACGGGGCCGTCGCTGCTCGTCGCCTCCGAGCCGTCCATCTCGCGAACATCTACAGGACGTGGATGCGAGGCCCGCTTCCGCCCTCGCCCTTTCCGCGGCCACTCCGCCACGTCCGCTCCCGGGATTTCCCAGGCGCCCACTTGACCTGGCTCCGGCCCTCGGCGTGTCCCGTATTCTGCTTGCTGCGCTCTTGTGGCCTTCGCCCGGCACTTTTATTCTTTTCGTCGCCAAGCCGCTTTCGAACATCGTCCGCAACTCCGGCCATGCTTCCTTTAGGCTGTTCTATTGTTGCCTTGGCATGGCCCAACATTACCGTCTTCGATGGTGGGCTGCGAGCCAATCCGGCCTTCGGACTATTTATTGTGTCCTATTTATTGTCGTGCCGATCCGAGCTGGAGGGTTACTGCGTTCGGGCACGGCTGCCGCAAGTGGGAAAGCGCATCCCATTCACTCTATTCTCGGCCGCAAATTCGAGCATCCGGGGCTCCGGCCAAAACACGGTGGGGACTGGCGAACAACGAACCGGCAGGCGCCAAGGACGGATGGTCTTGTAGTCATTTCGACGGGAACTGCAAGGCAGAATCTGTAAGTCCGGTAGTAGCAGCTGTCGCACATCAGCAACGTGCTCCTGCGCATACCTGCCCGAGATCGCGCATGCTCAGAGCAAGCGGACGAGACCTCGGCCGCGGGCCGGGCCGGGCCGGGCGTATCTTTCCATCTGCCACTGAATTTGTGGTTTGAAGATTCTTCTCTATGAAATCGAATCCTCCTTTGGCAACATCGCTTTTTAGACCTTCAGTTGATTTCGTCTCTTTTCGTAACTATTCCTCTACGCTTTTCCCGGTTGCGCTCTGCTTCCGCCCTTGGGCACTTGGCCTCGGAGACTGACTAATACCTTTTTTTTGTTCTCTCCTGTGTTCGATCCTGTTGTCCCGTCTTCGAGACTCAAGGCTTCCTGTACGTTGGGCAACCCCGCTTCTTGGATCCCACAGACGAGAAAGACGAGATAAGAAGAAAATCGAAGCACGATGGAAGAGTTCATTGTGAGACCTTCGCAGCTTTGACACGGAGTGGCGACTCAAATCAAACTTCCAATGTTCAAATCAACGCAAACACAACTGAATTTCAATCTCTCTATCCCGATACTGTTGTCATTTTTGGCGTCTCCACTTTGTCTCCAGGATGAATGCCAATGCTGCTTTTGCATGTCATATACTGTACACCTCTCCATTATTAGAATGAACAAAAAAAATTCATTACAACGTTCAGTAACTTTTAATGAGATGAATCTACGCAACAGGTATCAACTATACGCAAACGCAATCTGATTCTCTTATTCTTGAGTATATGAGATGTTGTTTATATGGGTTCGACCCTGAGACGCTGAACTGAACAGATTTTCCCATAAAAGCGTTTAAACTTAATGCACACGTGGCATGTGCATTAAGTTAAAGATTAGACATGTGACATGTCTAATCCGAAGAAAGTCATAGAACTTTGTGGTGTACTTTCCGACTACCCCAACTATTGTTTGATGTCGAAATTACGATGAGTCCTTCTGGTCCACTATATTGGATGCATCATAGGAAAATTTTCAGCAGACGCGTGTAGTTGGTGATAAAGCGGCCAAGAAACAAATCACACATTCTCTAAACTTTTGTGCTGACAGGTTTTAACTGGTACATCATTTTCTGATAAAAATCACCAGAAAATCATATTCTATCGAAATAAATCCTTTCCAAAAAAATGCACGTTCTGATAGATCGTTTGTGTATTTCTGGATAACGAATATCAATGATTTCTTCTTCATAAAACACACTGACATTTCAACCTTCTCCACACAATGAAGATTGAAATGAACAACCAAAATGAAGATTGTGGATTACCCACAGACTGAGAAGTAAATTCATAATGCTTATTACATGGTAGTTCACCTATGAAGTACATGAATTTGTTGGAATTTATTAACGTAAAACTAGGTTTACAGCATTCAGAAAAAAGGACTATTACGGCTATATCTAATTAAAAGAAATGTACTTTGTTAATCTGTTTTAGTAATATACATCATTCATGAATTGAATTTTGAGACTATTTTAATATCTCAAAATATATATTCAAAAATTCGAAAGCCATGAGTGTGTAGTTTTGGATTTTGAATTTTAGAATTTTCTAGATAACTTTAGAAATTTAACTACCTGATAAATAAATAAATATATATATATATATATAATTTAATAGTATAAAATTATCACATTGAAAAATTTACGTATTTCTTCTAAATTTGCAAGAAAGACAAGGTTAGAGTAAAATCGAAATCAATAGTCATGATGAAATGATATTAGATCCATTTCTTCTTGCTCAATGCAAAATGTCAAAGCAATGCTGTAGATTGATTTGTTCATGAAGGAAATGTTTTGGAATTCATACTTACTGATTTTTTTAAAACTTGTTAGCATACGACAACATGATCTACAAGCGACTTTATGATGGTATCTATCCATTTGCTTTACAGCTCTCATTTTGCAGTTAGATTTTTGCTGCAGAGTAAACATTGCCATTTGATATAATATAGTACAGCCCTTGATGTTATTATGTCTTGGCGTGTGTTCTTTAGATCGCAGTTTGTATCACACGGTTCGATACTAGCTAGAAATTACTTCATCACAGCATTGGGCTTGGCTGGCTTCTGTTCCAAGTGTGCAAAAGTTTCTTTCTCGAGAAGAAGCCCAAGATTTAGTTCCTTTGAAAAGTAACAAACTGTGCTTCCAAGTTTGTGAGTGTCCGACATTCAAAGTGTCTTTGGTAAGCCCACAATGTCGCCGGTCGCTTATACTTTTGATACACAGTTGGAAAGCGCCGAGAAGGACGACGGAAGAGAGCCGGTCAGTGGGATAGAGTAGCTTGAAGAAAGTCTGATGTCCAGTGGGTCAAGATACAACAAAACAAGAAGGTTGTGGAATCTCGAGGAACCGAAGGAGGGAGTTACGAGTTGATGGTTCTATGTGTCCGATGAAAGATTCACTTTTGAAACTCTACCCACTCTACAAGATTCTCTTTCGTCCTCTCCATGGTCCACAACAACCCACTCTGGCCAAGGCTTCGAGCACCGCCTCTTCGTGGACGTGGACAGGTTCCAATTCGACTCTCTTCATGAAGAATTAGTCACCGATCGACTTTTAAACTCCGATTTATTTCATCCTCACCTTGAGTAACATGTGCTCACATCTGGCGATCTTCTAGAGAAGACTTCGAAGGACTTCATTGTACAGTGAAGTATCTGGACAGGGACTGAGTTGGACTTCAAACTCGTGTCTATGGTTCCAAGAGCCGGAGCCAAATTAGACGTCGATGGATTGTTCCCGTTTGCTTACTCGACTGTCGAAGAGGGCCTCTTTTGTCGCCGGGGCATTGATGGCAGCCCTGCGCTGGGGTTGTTGCTGGGTTACACTATTGAAAGTACTTCTCTCTTCTACTCAATACTAGCTTCCAGTATCAACGACAGGGATTTCAACTTCTGCTCCTATGGTGAACATCGCCTTTCGAACTAAAGTTCGAAAGGCCTGCGAACAAAACTCGCCTTGATGAAACGGGCTGAATGCTCATGACGGCCGTACAACTCGCACAACTTTCCATTCTCCGAATTAGAATGAAGTAAGGGACGAAACCACATTCTGTTGCGGGCTTGTTTACTCCGTCGGTGATGGTGGAGGGGCGTACGAGCCTGTTGTGAAGAGTGTTGAGCCTGTTTTGTGGTTCGAGGGATGAGTCCACGTGCTACAGAAGCACACGCTCCGCGGAGAATAACAGTTTGTCCGCCGCTGCGTTGGTGATTTGAGCTTATCGGGATTTTGGCAGGAATCACAGTGATAGTTGATAGGGTGGTGGTGGAAGGTAAAGTACGCCGTTGGTGTAAACACTTCTTCCGTGTTTCATGTTCATCTTCTTTCAAGGTGTACTCTCGTTTCCAGGTGTACTTCCGTTCAGTTTGTTAGTCGCAGTGTACAATATATGAGAATAATTGGACATCCACGTGCATGTCTTAAGTTTACAGATCTTCTGATACAGGACTTTCGCTGCAATTCACGGTGTTGATGTCTTGCCGGATCGTTCGGGGACAGCCATGTACAGAGATTCTTTTGGTCGCGACTAGATAACACGAGATTTGTCAGTTGGGAAATCCAATCCATTGTTGGCGTCATATACTGCGTATCGACGATGGCACAAAACAGCGAGTTAATGGAAGATGATTGGATTTCCTACTTCACAGGCATAAATCACATTTCAAGATTTAAGCAGGAAATATAACTCCGACATTGGTCTCAAGCATATCGTCTTCCACACATACCAAATTGTCCCCCTTTATTGTTGAACTATTGCACGGATACATCATGGGCGCATATGTCGCGTTTTACTCGTATCTCGCCTCTCGCAATGGACACAAATTACTTTAAGAGTAGCCTGTGAGATGCATCAACCACTCTGCATGCACCTTCTCCCGTTGGTGTTGCAGGTAGAGGTATATTTTCACCTGCTCCTTCGAATCCGATTATAATGCTGAGGAATCCAGGGTTCAGGGTTTGAATGTGGGCACTACTTCACAAGTAGACGATTAGTTTCTCCCACCAGAGGTCTTTCAACAGAAGAGATTCTGCAAAGAGTTCATGGAACAGGTGTAAACACCTCTTCTGCAAACTTCAACAAGCTCGTGGGACTTCGGCATCTAGAGAGACAATAATTGCATAAATAACAGCCACAGTTGCTCGTACGACACATCGATACCGCCTGAGCATGCCTTTTAAAGTGGCTCAGACTTCCGAACGCAACCTGAACTACGATGAAGAAGCTAATAAGTTGAGAAGACCAGAATATGCACAATGTGCTTGACTGAGACTATCATGCCAACTCAATGGTGCTATGTTGACATGTGAAAGCTCAAGAACCTCAATTTACAGTAATGTACATGACCATGGTCAATGACAAGACCCTGGACACAAATTGAACACCTCAGTTAAAGTGGGCATTCAACTGGTTGGTTAAAGCATGGCCACTGCTCTTGAGAGCATGTATAAATAGGTATTCCGTTGGACTCCCAAATGCTTCTCTTGCAGACTGTATGGGCTTCTAAACTCCCAGCTAGCTTGTAAAGCTTGTCATCAGGAATCTTTCCTTCGAAGACTGGAAATCCACAGCCAGCATCATTGAGTGCAATACGCCTCATGACCGCTCTTGAAATAGATTACGAGCACCGAATGAATTTATGTCACATCTTCAACCAATCTTGCGAGAAGAAAGAGGGTGCTTCTTGTGTACCACTTGTGTCTTCTCGATGGATCCAGACTGATGTTCCAAAACGACTCAGATACTCCTCGACAATCTGGATTGTGCTTGACGCACTGGAACCAAACTTCTGCCCTCCACCACTTTAGCATCACCAGCACATTTGAGCCAAAGATGCACACAACCTTTGTCGCTTCTCACACTACAGATATATGCTGGATAACAATCCTCAAGGAAGGGAGCACGCATGGAGCGAGTCTTCTTAACAATCAGAAAAAGTTGCCACTCCTTTTCTTCCGAACAACAGTTAGACAGGAATCGGGCAGCCCAGTGCACTTGCAGCATTGGCTAGCAAAGAGATAGACATACCGCCGGCGCGACGACAGTGCACCTCCCATACAACACATTGCTCAACATATCTCCTCCAGTTACCAGTTCCATTTGCCTCTTCCCTTTCGCTCCCTTCAGAGGATTTCCTCGAGCTGCTCGACCGGAGTGACTCCATATAGAGCATGTCCCTGAGACGGGCGACACTCATTGCCCGAACATGTGTACTGTTGTGAGATAAGCACCGCACTGTGGCCGGCAATCGCTCCTGCTCATCACACAAGGTGTTCAAGGGTTGATGGCAATATAGTAAATGTCTTTCGCAATCGAAGGAGCTAGAATGTGAACAGAGATCTCTGAAATTCAACAAATCAAGAGTCCAATGTATTCTCTGCACAAGTATCTCCTACGAAATAGGAGATTATTGTAACTGAAAATGAAACATATGTTGCGAAGTAAAAAAGATCGTATATGTACCCTGAGAAGTGAAAATAATTGATCTGCGACCTCCTCATTTGGCTCTTCCCATTTCAACGCCGCCTGCGCTGCAAGAGCTGCTGCTTCTAGAAGCTATACGTAGGTCAAGTGAAACAAATTCATGATTGTGGTCAAACCCAGCTTGATAAGATAAAGCGCAAGTGTATGCGGTACTATAAAAGGCTGTAAATGAAAGGACAATATGATCCTATCGGCCTCTTTCGATTATGGACATTTAAGCATGATCATTCAACATCGACATCATGCACAAATAGTTCAACAAAGAATTTGCTGGGGCCCAAGCATTTGCTGTGATGAAAAAACGCCACTCAAATGTCCAAAAGCGAAAGCGACCCACCTCTAGCTGAGGTAATTTGCAAGCTTCTCCATCCAAGGTCATGCCATCCGTGGCTCGTCTAAGAAGAGCTCCATCGTGTACGACCACTTTCACAATTTCTGGAAGGTGCGTTAGTCGCAGAAGGTCAGAAAGGAGACAGACAACACGAGTGTTGATCCTCCATAGAGACTGCTGGCTTGGTCCATCGTCCTTGATGGTCCACGGTCGAAGCTCTGCCTCGGCCTGTCACGCAACATTGGATGAGTGTTCTCGTTGCTGCATGCAACCGACATTTGAAAGAAGTTTTGAAAAAGACCCCTCTGCAGATTGATCATGTAGGCCGCTGGGCACATATAAACCTTCAAACGGGCAAGAAAGCCAAAATAAGAGATCGTCCTTAATTATTTAACGCTTTCCCTAACACGGGACGTGAAAGCTTCTGTACCTGAGAGACGACAAACCGCGCAACTTTTCCAGGAAAGGCAGCTGAAATGTTGCACAAGGCCTCCACCACCTTCAAGCAGGGAAAACATCATCATCAGTAAAAGAAAGTAGTATCTTATGAGTACGTAAGTCAGCAAAAGCAGGTATGATGAACAGCTGCAAGCACACCGACCAAAACAAGATTTGAAATTCAACTGAGTCTTAAGGTCAGTAAAATAAGAAATAATCAGGAGTGATGTACAGATATGGAGAACGCGTGACCACCCTCGACAACATAGAGAAGTCAAAGTGACGTATAAAATGCATCGAAGTGAAATCACTGCATAAGGGAAAGTAGCTTGAAGCTAGAGACGGTGAGGCACTTGTAAATTAAAGATGCCAAAAGGCACTTGCTTGTACAGCAGTATTAAACATCGAGAAAACAAAACCAAAGTAAAGAAACGCAGTACCGAATGAAGAGGAGGAGTAAGGAAAGACTCGTGTTTTTTAACATGCAACGGCAATCAAACGAAGGTTTGCAATAACAATTAATTGTAGGAGGTTTAAAAAATCCTCACTAATGTGAGAGAGGAAAGGATGAATGCCTTCAAAGTCCAAGAACCTTCAAGAAGAGCAAAGTGGTGAGCATCAAGCTCACCACCGGCACGTTCACTTCATTAGCTCAGCCCCAAAAAATGGGTGATCGCGCCTGGGCTTCTGTCAACTTTCTTCAAAGGAAGGTGCAGACTGAGGTTGCTGCTGGCTAACACGAATAAAAAGACAAAAGAAAGAGTAACACAAGAGTAACTTGCTTTTCTGCTCTCATTACCTAGCTCACCAACAGCAGGGCAAATAAAAACACAGCGGCGTCACTATTCTTGTTGTCCTACTGCACAATCTAAGTCAAACACATGAGAAACCAGTGGGCATGAAAGTCTGCATAGGCACCTGACCCCACCCGCGTTCTGCAGAAGTTCCTTCGATTGCATTGGGAATATCAGGGGCAAGAATAAGCCTTTGACAGAGTAAAGCAGTGGCACCAATGGCTAGATGCTGCTTTCCGACAAGAACAGATTTCAACGACGTGTCAAGAGTCCCATTACGACCATTTCTTCTGTCCTTGCATAGAAGAGACGCAACATCCGAGGCTTCCAGGGGGAAAGATCCTCTCGCCTCTCCTACAGGTCCATATCCATTCGGGATATTCGGCCCCTTTTCACTGCTTCCCCCTCTCAAATTGCCAGGAAGGCCCGAGACTCTGCTGAGCTTTTGAAGTTGGCTAGGTTTAAACTGGTCCTCGATGGAAGTGTTCCAAGCCTGCTCTAAATCTCTTTTGATCCCTATTGTACAGTCTGGTCCTCCAAACCCGTTTCTCCCATGCGTAGCAATGGCTACCAGATCACCATTACTTTCTATAGCTGAAAGTACCGCTGAAGCCTTTAAACATATTCCGGGATCCCATTTGCACCTCATTATTCCTGTCAATGAGTGCAGACAAGCTCTTGAATGACCAAGAAGATCTGACATATGTGCAGCACCAACTGCCTGTCCCAAAATTTCATTTGTACTGGTCCTGCTACTACTGCTCCCGGTTCCGGCAAACGAAGGTGAAACGCCGAGTAAAAGTTCTAGGAGCCCTAGAAGTCTTTTCGTATGCTCCAGAACGTTGGCAACACCTATTGGAAATCTGTTAGAAAGCAAAGATAGAGACCTTTGCCCATCGCGTGCGCCACTGCTACTAACTTGTCCATCAGCATCTGGCCTTGTCATTACAACGGAAGGTGGTTTCATTATCGTGAAGTAAGCTGGAGAAAAGGGAAAAAATTGTACTTCACAAGCCAAAGCGCAAACTGCTGCAATAACGTAGGAATCAAAAGTTGCAACAGCACCCCGCTGCTTTCCTGAGACGTCAATCGTAGATGTCCTGAATATCTCCTTTCCCCCATAGATGTCTTCATCCATTGTCAGAGAGCTTCCACCATCTTTCCCAGTAGCTTTTCTTCGTTCTAATTGCCGACTTGCATCATGACTAAGACATAAACTAAGAGCTTCAGAAAGAAGATGTGCGGCTAGCTCAGGGGAGAGAAAGGACTCTGTGAACAAACAGTGCAACATCGCGCGAAGTTCTCCCATGCCTACGCTCTTAGCCCCAGCACCTCCTCCCCCAGCTTGTAAACCTACGATAGTGCCATCCTTCTGTTGCTTTACCTCATCAAGAGGAAATGTTCGCTGCAAAATGGCCTCTATAGTTGCAGAAAAAATTCGTTTCAAACAGGCTTGTGATGGACTTTCTGGAGGAAGATATGACAAAATTCGAAAAAGAGCTCGCAGCAAGTTCCACGAAAGCACTGGTGGCTGCAAAGGTGTAGACAGAACAAGATCGGGAAGATCAACGGACGAAGGAGTCAACGACCGCAAACCGTATGCTGCCTCCCAGATAGCACATATATGACACTCCACATCAATTCCATGCCCAGTCAAAAGTGCTGCTAATCCACTTGCAGTTGCAACCTCGCTTTCTTGGGCTGCAGCCGCCTTGGCCTGTTATAAAATATCAGTCAGCTACAAATCGAGTGCAGAGAAAACTTGAAAATTACAACTTGCAACATCTGTCAATGCAATGAATATTGTGCTCACACACATACCTCTTCCCTACTTGCAGCCAGGCTTGACGTGCCGTATAATAATGTTTGCGTCGAAAACAATCCCTGGGATTGTGATGGTGGAGGAAAGAGCAGAGCAGGTCGAGAAAAAATATGATAAAGAAGAGCTGCGGCAGCGTCTGCGGCGGTACCTGACCTCTGGGCCATAGCAGCACCGACAGGCCTCAAGAAATGGATGGTCAACCAATCTCGAGGAAGCTGCAACCCTCACACAGCAAGACGTAACATAAAGGGTGAGGACTATGCATATTCCAACAGGTTATCAGCTTCTGGCACAAGATCTCTCCATTAGTAGGATAAATTTTAGTAGATGCCGAATCACGCCCAGCAATTTTCAGAAAAGGGTAAATCAACCAACTCTCAAAATGTATCACTGAACAATTTTATGAACGTTTCACTCAAAGATTAAATTCAACACAGATAAGACGCAAGTGTTTGGGATCATGACGAGGTTCATTTAAAACATCCTTGGGTACCAACTAATTCGGCGTAAAGCGAATTGCCAATGACGCAATAAAGCACAATTCGAAGGAACAGGATTCTCTTGGACTCAGAATAGAGACAAACCTGGACAGAGGAAGTGTAATTATCGGCTGCTCGTAATAGCTCGACGAGCGCTACAGCAACAACTAAAGCATCTGGAGCCCACGTAGGAGGGGCTTCCAAAAGCCCAAACAGCAACCGTTGTGTTGCTCCTGGTGTTGCAACAGCGTAGTATCTGTATACTCGAACAATATTTGAATAAGAAAGCGAAAACTTGAGTAGATAATCCATCGAAGGTGCAATCTCAAAGTGCTACATGACGGACTGAAAAGGAAGAATTCTACCTGTGAAATAAGTGCGCATATGGTTCCAAAAAAGGTAAGCCCGAGACTAAAAGGTTCTCATTTTGAGCTGTTGGGGGAGGGATAAGCAAGGCAGGAACTGCTGCGGCAGTTAAATCTGCTGTCTCATAACGAGACACTTCGTCATCACAAACACTCAAGATAACTGCTGCACCGTTGGCCACAGCCCATCTAGGAGTTGAGGGCAGGAGCTGTGGTTGCTTGCCTTGACTTCGGCCTCCAACTGCTGATAATTAAGAAAGCACAAAGAGAACTTCTTAACTTCAGTTCGCTTTTAAAATTATGCTGATATTAAAGATGTCTCGGTATTAGCAGGGTATATATTACCAAAAGAGTCCTCACAAGAAAACAATGAAAGAGAGCGTCTTATTAAGTGTTGCACATGCGGCCGACTTAGGCCAACTTCCCAGGACTTCTCGATTGAATATGAACTTATGGTTGAGGTTATCATACTTAAAACGTGTTCATGCTTGCACTTATTACAATAAGATCAAACTGCTCAGAGCGAATGGATGACAGTGCGCGTCTTGAAGTGGGTTGCACAAAGAGCGGAGTTGTGAGGGAAAACATGGTACTTCAGCAGTGAGTTGGTCTTTCGATAGAGTTTCACCCTTCACAACCGCACATACTATTCTTCCTGGTATGAATTGGTTGGCATTATATGATTGTACGATTCATCCATCCTCAAGATTTCCCCAATCTTTGCACTACCATGACTTAAATTACACATTAACTTCTCGCAAAGGAGAACAATCTTACATAACTTCTTGGAGTATAGTGCGGGTGATATGCTACCAAGAAGAAAAATGAGGAAATAGGGAGAATATGTGGCATTCCATTCTATGCTGTCACCTCGAAACAAATATGAGTACCTCCCCGTGTATGAGTGACATGAAAGTTACTTCATACTCCAACTTAATACTACACGGCTAAAACTCGGGATGAAAGTTTTCCGGCGTTGTCGTCTACACGACCTTGATTTAAGGACATTGATATTTCCATTACGTCACATGATGCAACACTCTGCATCAAAAAGTTGTAGAAGCACAACCGTGGTTCTCTCAGAACGCCGTCTACCTATAAGACTTAAGGTTTAGCTGATTTTCGAAACTTACCCGTAGTTGGAGGTCTGAGTTCTTCTCCTGCTGTGTATTTTCCCATGACGCCTCCGCACCTTAAGCGTAATAACGAAAGAAAAGTTTCAGGCTCCATTCGCGGCCATTACAATTACATGCACTACATAGTATGCTGTAGAAACCAAAATAAACGTTCACACGAGAAACGTAGATAATCACAACTATGACAAGCATGATTGAATTCACAAAAAACTAAACAAAGCTAGCGTGACAATCAAATCTCCACTAAAACACGAGCTGAAGGCACGTTACCATTGGAAGTAGTCACTACGTATTGATGGAGGAGCAGCGAGTAGACTATCTGTAATCCAGGGTGTGAGAAGTCTGGTAGGAGATCTCCTGTCATACTCATCCCAACCAGCCCTTTCCTGGCTACACTTTCCAGAACCCTCCCCACTAGAACTGGGACTGGGATTACTCCCAGACGGCTGCCGGGTGTCACTCCTGAAGGTCGGGCGATTGTAGTGAGTGAGAACCCTCAAAGTTTCTCCACATGCAAGAGCCCACTGCTCCGAAAAATCTCTCTGCGTGTGTAAACACAATTTGACGTGGATAAGTGATAGAAATAGAGGGCGGGCTGTAGTCCGCGAAATTTCTCCTAGTAAATACACTTAGACAAACCTATCTATGTCTTCCAGATGGTACTTGACGGATGACTTAGTACGAATCCCAAGCATCAATACGTTGTCCCCAAAGCTTCAAACCTCGAGATTGATCCTGACATGTCTAGGTTGGGTAGGATGATGGTTTGATATGAAAGGGACCATGACTCTACTAATATGGAAAAGTAGGAGAATGAGTGGCGCCGCCAAGATGCGCTGCGCACTGCAAGTTCAAACTTGAGCCTTATCGCAGGTTGAGCATTTGCCGTCTTCCCGGGAGTACTGTCCCGTCAATACTCGGGGCTAGTTGTCCCTTAATGACTACACTGTGACTGCAAAAAATATAATTAACGTTTCTATTGATTGCTAGAGTGGAAGATATGGTATTTCCAGAAAAGAATCAGAAAACCCAAATCTGCCAACAAACGGATGGCTTTGTGCACCCCGAAGGCGAGACATCCCAAAACGGTTTTAGGATATATTAATACAGAGTAAGTGCTTCTTAAAAAATCTAGAGTTTTGCTTTTTCGGAACAAATTGACACTCCAATAGGAATCGGAAAAGGACATACAAGAGCAACCCCGTCTCTCTTACGGAAGAATTTGTTTCTGTCTACTCGAAAGAAGGAGTCAATTTCCATACTAATAGCTCAATACCACTCTCGGTGGTGAGCAAAGAGAAAAATAACCTTCTAACGACATAGAAACTAAGTTCTACACCATGTCAATACGAAACTTCGAACTACATTGCGTACTGACATGTCACGTACATGTTCTTCTCGAAGAATTGTAACAGATCTGAAAAAGGAGACTCAAATCCTCCATCTTATTAAAAAGAAGACAACACACATGACAACCCTTTCGGAGTCGCTCGACTAAAGGGAGAGGACACCTAGGCCCCAATACTCAGGAACGGAAGCCACGATCCTCTTTCTTCGGCTTAAAATTACATGCAAATGTACTGAAGATTGGTGCTACCATCTTAAAAAAGAAGTTGAACGTCTCAATACGAAAAATCTACTGCAATGAAGCAATTTTGTCCCCAAAGAACTACTTTACAACGAATGAGGTCGTTCGGTCTTCGACACAAGTGCGTTCACGTGATTTCGTCCTCTTAAGCACGAAAATATTTTTGAAATCCATTTGTACCTAGTGCTCGGGGTGACAGTGTAGGCGAAACAACTTTCCAAAATAAGTCTTCCTTAAATTAGTAGACATGGATCACTGATTCAAATCAGTACAACAGCAGTCGCTTTAGGTTCTATGTAGGACACATTCTCAGGTATGTGTAGTACATAGGAGCAAGCTTGCAACATTCAGTGACGAAGCTCCAGTACACATTTACTTCAGACTTGGTCAAAACAGAAAAGCATGCTTTTCTAACAACTGAATGCGATTAAGTTCTCGTGTGAAGGAATACTATTAGTGAACTGAAGTAAGTAGCCAATTATAACCATCGGAATTAGAAGCAAAAGAGCAGTCACAATCCTTCGTGAGAGGTGACGCAATGGATTTGAGATAATCAGAATAAGACGCACGAGATCAAAAGATGCCAGCAGCTAATCAAGTGAAAAGACGAAATGGAAATTCGTGAGTAACATTCTGGCCGCAAAATAACTTTATGTTGGGATTTTATTGGACGTGCTTCTCAAACTGGAGGTGGAACCTACATGTACGAAGAGGATTTTGTTTCTTTAGCTTCTTGAACCATGAAGCGGTTCTTGCCTACTAAATTGTTATGACCAACTTTCCCCAGCTCTGTAGTAAAGCAATACTGCTGACTTGAAGATGTACACCGACAATCCAGTATCAAAATATTCAATGGCCCGCTGTGAATTCGTTGGTTCAAAATAAAACGTACTGGAAAAGATGTTTCCCCGTGTTTAAGTGCGAGCCACCAAATTCCAGATTCGACTAATTGCATATATAACCATGATATTCTGAAAATGCTGAATGTGTGTACACCAAGCGAAGTCCATACCTCAGTAGAAGGGCTGAACAAAGAAACGAAAGATCCGAATGGAGGGGTCTTCTTGTTGTAAATCAGCGTCCCATCAATCACACAAGAGAGAAGAGCATGCAGAACCGCATGTCCATGCTCTGGGTGGTGAAGAACAAACGTAGCTACAAAAAAGAACAAACAGACAGCGTGGATAAAAGGCGGATCAGATCTCACTTTGGCAGATCCTCTTAGACCGATTGTCAATCATGTAAACTGACATTACAGAAAGTAAAAAACTCAAGAACATACAAGAAGGATAGAATGTCACCTAAGACGTCATCGAGAAGGCAATGTTCATTTGTGGGGTAATGAGCGCGCACAAGCTGTACACACGTTCATCACAGGAAAAGAGTGGTTTAATATGTAAAATTGTTTTTCTCACATCCCAAAATTCGCCAATGCAAACAGAACACGATTGCTGCACACAAAATCTGGAATCATTTGATCCCGCACTAGCGACTCCACCGTCGAAAGAGATACGTTTATTTCTTAGGACGTTAAAGGCGACAAGATTCGACAACATCACGCTTCGATTCATAACCGAAGACAACCGTGAGAATGACACGAGCAGTCTACAAATCTGCTGTTTCGATACGGTTCTTTGGCTGATGTCTTTTACATGAGCCAATTGAAACTGAAAAGGCAGAGTCCTCACAATATGTAGCATGCGCTTACAACCCACGTACCTCCCCAATATCATCCACAAAGGATTCTGAAGCGAAATGTCCAAAAAGCTCGACAGATGCCAAAATTTCTGCCTGCAAGTATAATAAAGGAGACAGACATCAAACTTTATGCTCATATAATCGAAACCATCAAAGTCTGTCTCTTACACTGTTGACGTGAAACGATCCCAAATCTATATGGACCAGTTCCAAAATTCCACAACACATGGCCCTGAATGATCGGAGCAAATAAAGAACAAAACTTTTTAATGACCTCCCAATTTCAGCATGCCTTGACCCAGAGAAAACTGGGTCAAGGGAAATTCATCCCTAATTATTCAATATTCGGTCCAACTTTTGGTGATCCACTAAAGAAAGCCTTGAACACTGTTCTCTACAGATGGCAGAGACACGAAGCTTACCCTGCTTGTAAAAACCATAAAGGGGGAAAGAGGATCTAAGACCTGAATGTGATTGGGAAAATAAATGAGGAAACAAGGACGGGAGTCTCAACGTGCTTCAGCTCGAGTCCTATTAATAAAAATAATTTTCTCGACAGCAGCTGTGCAGCAAAAATTGCATAGATGAGTGAAATCCAGGAGGAGTGGGAAGGCCAAACGCCATGTGTTTGTCTCAAATAACTCATCGCTTAATCGGGGAGCGCTATCCATCTGTATGCCCCGGGTTCATCTTAGCTCAAAGCGAGGGTTGGACATTCAAAGTGTGTCAGAACTACTACAAGTTCGAGACAACTGAGAACGAGATAAATGTACCGTATCAAGGTCGATTCTTGCATAAGAAAGGCTGGCCATTCAAGTTGCTACACAAAGGTAAAGACGGCACAAATATGATGACATTGGTCGAAACAACAGTAAATCCCGCCCACCGTGTGCAGAAATCCCGCGTGCTTGGGAAAAAATGAGGCAAGCATTTGACTTCTGTTCTTGCTAAAATTGATTAAGCATATCTAATGAAAAGTAGGCGTGAAATCATCTGCTACTGTGGTTTGATGCCCTCATCTCCAGAGAAAATGTGATGTAGTTGTTGTATGACTCCACAAAAATCAAGTAAGTCTCCGACCAGCACTATCAGTCCCAGGTAGAGATACTAAAAACTAAAAAGGGGAGATATGCAGCCTCTTTTGTCCGTGGAAAGAAAAGCAAATTGAAGAATATATCCAGCGGAACGTGAACATTACGAAAAGCTTTCAAAAAAAGATGGAATTCTAGAGGTTCAAACAATCGGGGGAGACTTTCACATTTCGTCGAAATATCGTACTAGCATCCCAATCCAACGGGAACTACTTTCTGGACATTGGATTACAGCTGGAATTGAGCATGTATAGATACGGCTTGATATCAAAGTTCGCGGCGATCGCGTAGATAATAGGAGAAAACAATCCAATAAACTTAGGTTCAATGAAGTAAAACACCGACAGGACGAGGCGGGTAGAACAAAGAAAGCAGAAATGACAAAGACGACATCATCAACACTAGAACCCTCGATTTTCCGACTCCTCCTCAAGGCTATCGGATAGACTGCAGAGGCGCCTGAACAGTGAGATAAATTGACACTAACAAGCAAAATTTGTCAGGAGGTACGCAAATGAGAACCACAAAAACCTACCACAATACCGCCTAGATACATACCAGCTTCACTACGTCCGTTCGTCTTCTCAGGAAACTTGGGAGAGGTCCTTAGGTGACTACCAAAAAGCGAGCAAAACCGACGACCGGGACCAATACTACAGCTAACGAGAATTCAGAATCACCGTCTCCCAACCAGCCCTGGGACCTCCATTCGACTCCTGTAGTTAGAGGAATTTGCTAGACCAGCGTACCTGTTTTCGGATGGCACTTTCGGGCGGCGGCCGAAAAAGAGATGAAGATTGAAGGCCGCGAAGCCATTTCTGCCCGGGAAATGACATAGGGCCAATCTCCAAAGGCTTGGAATCACTCTCCCCCTCTCCCTGACGTGCGCGTTCTGTCTCTCTGCACGTCCGATACCACTTTACTCCGCCCAAGGCCGCTAATAGCTCTATGTAACGGAAACCTCTAAACCTGTAATCCGCGCCGCCTTCCCTCAAGTACTAAAAGACCTGCACTTAAATCTCCACCGCGCACTTCTTAGAACGATCCAGGAAATAATCCACGAGTCGACCCCGGCACCGGCGCCACGGACTGTCCAGAAGAACATTATAAGATCCAACCCTGCATGGACAAGTTGAATACGCTCCTACGCACCTCGAGGCGCAACCCACGTCGTCATTCAGCTCCGACAATGCTCAAATTTCTCGGCGTTCCATTCTGCCTCCTTACAAGATGACTTGACCGACGCGCAAAACCTCTGCGCCACACCACTCGCCGATCCAACTCCTGTCCATCATCGGTGCCTGCTTGCTTCGCAACGCCAACTACAACCCAACCCTCAGAACAAAATTTCCCTTGCTCTTGGCTGGGCAGGATCCACCCCCTACCTACGGCCAGCCAGCCTGCCAGCCAGCCAGCGAGTAAGCCAGCATCAATCGAAGTCGACTGTCCGAAACTCAGCTTGAAACCGCTCCTTCCTGTTCGTCATCGTCGGTCGCCTCGGCTCTCTCTTTCTCGCTTTCTCTCTTTCTCTCTCTCGTCCGTCCCGGCTCGTCGTCTCGAGGGCAGCAAAGCAGAGCCAAGCCACTCCAAGCCAAAAGCCAGCCTCACCTCTCACCACCTCCTTCCCTCCCTCCTTCCTTCAGTCCTTCCTTGCCTTCGCCTTCGCCTCGCCTCGCCTCGCTTGCCTTGCCTGGCCGGGCCTTGTCTCTGCTTGCTCTGTCCTGTTCTCTTTATCGATTGCTTCCTTTCCTTCCATCCGCCCGCCTTCCCATTCCAGAGCGGTCCTCCCTTGGGTCGTATGTCTCCATGGTATTCCTGCCTGCCTGCGTGCGTGCGTGCGTTCCTTCGGTTTTTCGGCGTGAAGAATAGCAGCAGTTGCGGCACCGTCCGTCCCTCCTTCCGTGAACAGGGCAGTGTCGTACAGTGCAGTCGTACCGCGGCCCTAGACATGGCAAAGAGCAAGTCTGACGTGGATGAGCTTCAGACGACGTGTAAATATTGAAGATCTTGCATCCTCGGATCCTTGCCATCTTGGCCCCGATGAGTGGATCCTACATTTGGTATGGGCGAACCGCCGGAGGACACGCCCCATATCATATGACGTGGCTGCCTACCTCCAGTTGCACCGATCTCGCCTGATGCCGAATCGAAAACTGGCTAAGGGTTGGTCCGTATGCGCGAGCGAAGGTACGTAGTCACGTTCCGTTCTTGTTGGATGGAATATCTTCTACACCATTTTAGGTTTCATACTCAGCAAATCTCAATTGATTCGTCCATCATAGAAGATATTTTTCTCCTCCCTCCCTCCTTTAGCAGCAAATTTTAGGTTTCATGGAAATCTCTGAAGATTCGGGCCTTCGAAGATATTCCTTATTCTCTCCTCTTCGACATCGTCTACAGTAAGATCTCTCTTCCACAAAGGCTACTCTTTTAGGTCTGTTTTTTTTATTTTTGATCCTTGCCCTCTCTCAGTCTTCGCCTCTCCGCCAAACTCTTCTACTTCACCTTCATGATCTCTACTATTCCTGCAAACTATACTCTACTTGCACTGCAACACATGTAAATTTTACAGAATCAAGAATGTCTCGTCCGCGCTATTGCTTCCTGTCTATCTCAAACGCCACTTGCAAACTTCTTCCCAAATTTCCTTGGTATGGTCTCACTGCCTACACCTGGCAACGCAAGACAAGAATTCTCGTCCCTCCCTTCCAATGCCTTCCTCGCTTCCTTTTCATAGTTCGAATTGCTCCAAATACTCTTGCTTTGATTCATAGCATCATCAAAGCAATTGTGTTGAAAACATATGCGGAACAGACGCCTTCCTGCTATCATTTGACCGGTGGAAAGTCGTGACAACCTACATATATCTGCCGCCTTTCTGTTCCCCGACGTCAATGTGCCACATAGTGTATTTCTCTTTGTTTGCTTTCTTCTCAGCATTGTTCAGAATTATATGTCCACTATTTTACCTTCCTGATAACGATGATCAATCCGATGGGTCCGATCACTTTCGGTGTAACAATTAAAGTTTTCGTAGATATTAGCATGTGGTTAGGTATTTCTTTTTCCAAAGATTGAACGTTCATGTATCACACCTAGTTTACATTCCTTTGAATAATATTGGAGATATCATCCTTTAAAAAATTGTGAACATTGCTACTTACGTGGAGCTAAACTCTTAAAATATATGTGTAATGTCACCATTCATCCATTTAATAGTTTAGAATTTATTGATCAACTTTGACCATGTGAAACTGAATTCGGTCGTTGAAAAATTGTGCACACAAATGTTTGTTTATGTGATGATACAATGCTTACATTTTTTTGGATTATTTATAAATACGTCATTTTTTTGTACCGTAGGATATTTATGCAATATATAGTCGCTACTTTGCATGTTATGAATCATATTCTGGTCGTTTCGATGTAGGTATTAATAGATTCAAATTTCTTAAAAAAATAATAAAGAACTATTAATATGTACTTGGTGAGGATCTCTATGTTGATATATGTGTATATGTAGAATATTAAAATGTATTCAACACAACATGACTTGTACATTTCTGATTTTTTAAATTTATATACAATTCCAATTTACACAATTTACAAACAATTGTGTAAATTTGAATCATATAACAGCACGAATGAAATTATAAATTATGTAATACATATATTCTGCAAGATAACCGAGTCATATGTTCCCACCGTCCCATCTTCCAGCTTTGTCATACGATGGCGTGATTGATTCATCACTCAAAGAGCTAACTCTTGATTTCTGCAAAGTAACGCAGAAATGCAACCAAACAAATCATATATGAACTTCGAGATGAATGAGAAGTTAAGGTTATGAAATCCAGCGAAATTAAGATACATGTAAAATAGAATTGGTGTGCCTTAAGGAAGATAGATGGAATCCCTGCAGATGAAAGACGAAACCATGCACATGACATGAAATGCATGACCTTGACATCGCTGCTCTTTAGAAAAAAATACATGAGCTCACAAAATTTTAATTTCACATCATCATCATTGATTTCTATATAACATAGAGGATAATTTATGAACAATTACAAAAGTTTCATCTGACTGCAGTAGATATTTCGTCAAATTTCGACCAACATCTCAACCTTTTTTATTATGCTTGTAATCTAAACCTTAACGTAGTTGTAACCAATTATATCTTATCATTAGGAAAGACTATCATTAGAGTATATGTCAAAGTTTTGGATCAATTACACTTCCACAATAACTGTATTATTGCTTTTTTTTAATATATATTGACTGACAATCATTATTATACTATTATCTATTCATGTTCATAATTTCGGGAAGTTTTACATTTAATAGTTTTTTGAATAGTTATCGATTGAAATAATTATTATAATATTATCAATTCACTTTTAATAATATCAGGAAGAAAAGGTATTTGACTATGATTTTAAGAAATAAAATTTACCATTTTTTTCAGAAATTAATAAAAATTACGTAAGCTAAAAAAATTATACTCATAACACAATTTCTTCTCAATATCACATTTTTGTTAATATATATGTAAAGATAACTCATAATTTCCTTATCTTTATTGCTTATGAGCAGAGTTGATATACTTAACTCCTTCACGAGTACAGGTATGTGTAACATTTTAGAACAAATGGAAGAAAATATTTGTAAAACATACCCTTCGGAAAAACATATATGACAGGTTTTGCATGTGTCTCAAAAAATTACATGTCTTGCTCACAATGTCATTTTTGATTTGAAATTGTCTGTGTATATGTATATACTTACATATCACATGTACAATTGTATTGATTTGTTTAACCTTCATGAAAATATATTCCTTGGAAACTTTCATAAAATGTTCAACTTTTATGGAAAATATCTTCCATATTAAATGTTCATTCAAAAGAGTCATAATATTATTAAATCACAATGATTATTTTTTTGATACAAATGAATCACATGAAATCTCTTTGATCTATAGATTTATCTTACAATTTTTTGATACTCAAATTATTCATAATATGTATTATAGTTACCCTTGTCATTTAGAATTTGGATAAAAAAAAATATTTCATGTTATGGAAAAAATATATAAAAAATTTATATTATTATTGTTTCATGATTATTTTAGAATTTTAATGATTTATAAATAAGTTTAAAATGAAATCTTTAAAAAGATTCAAATTATTAGATGAGAGATTTAGATCAAATTTCTATAATTTATGAAAAAATTCATAAAACTCAATTTTTTATTGAATTTTTTTAATACATCATGTTCATATGCATTTCATAGTAAGATTCAAATATATAAAACCTAAATTTATTTAATAAATTCATTATGTAGAAAAATCTTTAAAACACAAACAAAAAAATCGTTAATCATATTCAAGAATAAAATTTTTATTAATGAAAATATTACGAGTCAACCTAAAATCTGGAGTTTGAAAATATATAATTTAAAGATTTATGAATTTTCATATTCATAATTTGTTCTCTTATCAAAAAATCTATTCATGGTAAATGGTAAATGGTAATAGATCAAGCCCGGGGGACCCAAAGGGTCAAAAGGCTGAAAAACACAATACAAGCGACAGCCACAAACAAGGGAAAAGACCCCAAAGGCCAAACCCTAGCTAGTGCCAAAAGCACTAGAACAATAACTAATAATGTCCCTAATATAACAACCTAAATCAAAAGGAACTAACTGTAACAAAGAATAAAAATTCTCTACATCTATATTATGAGTCACTCTAATCTCTGCATATCTAGTACAAGTAAGAAATACATGCTCTTCATACTCAACTTCTCTTCCATCACATAGCCTACAAATACGTTGACTCCTATCAATATTAAGCCAACGTACTTCCTCAATTCCTAGCCTATGAGATCCAGTTCTATGCCTAGCAATAATATGACGTAAGGACGTAGAGATTCCTGCAAGTAGGTAATACTGTTCACAATAAACAAGCATAGGATTCACATGAAGTTGATAAAACTGCATCTTGGTACCGCGCTTGCTCCAAATAATGTTCAGAAACTCCTCCTTTAGACGTTCACGTAGTGCTATAGGTTGTAGGTCCCAATCGCGTTCCGTCACATTCCACCTCAAAGACCAAGTTATCACATCCGCTAACCATCCTTTGGCACGTGTGGCACTCAAAGCCTGAGGAGGAAGGCGAGAAGCATCAAGAGATCTCACCCTTGTGATGTAAGTGATGGTCAAGTATAGAGCTTCAGCCTCTAGAGGTAAACAACCTGTTTCCGCAAGAAGAATAGCATATGAGGTTTGGTTTCTCACACCCACATGGAGATTGTGATAAAATATAATAAAGTATACATAATTTTAAAAATCATAAGAACTAAATAAAAATAAACAAATAAAAATAAATTTTTACACAGTATATAATCATTTAATTTGAATATTAATTTTATAATATGAAATATAATATTTTAATAATTATTTTAAATGACAATTTTATTTCTTAAGAATGAAAACCTAACTTTTTTGATGATTTTTCACATTAAGTATATCTTTTTAGTACTTTTTTTACATTCTGTTAATTACAAAAATGAACGATAATGAAATGTGATTTTACGATCATTTTACAATCTAAGCACTTGAATATTCTTGTTATTTGATGTGAAATTTGAAAATTTTATACATTTCATCACATGAAGTTGAAAACATTGATTAAAAGTAATAAATTATATAAGATG